TAGACTTGTTTTAGCACTATGATCATGTGACTCTTATTGATCTATTTGGCCAAGTTGCGTTAACTTTGTCGATATAGCTCCAGCAAATTGTTACTTTCCTATCCACATCAACTTGACTGCAAACTGAACTTCGTTGCTATTTTGTTCCTATGGTATATGATATCTAAGAGTATATTGAAGTCGTATTTGGAGGCTTAACCACTATATAGATACACTACAGCTATTGACATGTGGTCTTTTGGCTGCATTGTTGCCGAGCTGTTTCTTGGATTGCCACTATTTCCAGGAGGTTCAGAATTTGATATCTTGAGGCGTATGATTGAAATACTAGGGTATGATCCTTTGTTATGGAATTGTGATTTGTAGTCTATAATCTTAGGGGTCAGGGAATATATGGGGTCTGCACCCTTGCTGGTCAATCCTCGTTCTCTTGCGTTTTTTGTTTCATATATTGTTCTCTTATATACATTGGGTTTAGCCTATTGTTGGTGCTTTATGGTCATTCTTTCATTGCCCTTTGTCTTCAGCAACCCCCTATTTTAGCTTCTCAACATTTATGCAACTATGAAGTCCTCACTTCTATTTAAGCAACAAGTGTCGAGATTTCTAGCAACGAAGAGCTTTTCTTATTTTCATTCTTGCCTTTTTGTTTTCTCTTATGAATCTTATCAATTTTCTGTCAAATATTTTTCCAGCAAACAACCACCTGATTATGTGCTCAAGGAAGCAAAAAATACGAATAAGTTCTTTAAATGTGTTGGGAGTGTCCACAATTTAGGGAATGGTGGAACTAATGGTGGCTTCAAAAGTGCTTATATGGCACTGACTGAAGAAGAGTTTGAAGCCGTAAGTAATTCTTGCTTTACCTTTCAGCTAAACAAAAATATAAAGAGAGTGAGTATTGAAAACCAGGATGACAAGTATATTAGTGGATAAAGAAGACTTAGATTGTAGATTGTTTGATGAGGGGATAAATTTTCTTCTTACGTAGTCATTAAGATTTTCCCTTATTAATTTTTTATCTGAATAACTCATGCTGTTCTTTACTTTTATTTCCAGAGAGAAAAGAAAAAACCAGAAATTGGGAAAGAGTACTTCAACCATAAGAACCTTGAAGAAATTGTTAAAGGCTATCCTTACAAGATAAATTTGCCCGAGGACGATGTAGTCAAAGGTAAAGTCAGGTTGCTCTGATGTTCTTAACTTTGCTTTGATAATCACTGGACTATCTTCCATGGTAACTGTTATTTTTTTTTCCATGAACTATCACAGAAACTCAAATCCGGTTAGCTCTTATTGATTTTCTGAGAGGACTTGTTGAATTTGATCCAGCAAAACGTTGGTCACCTTTTCAGGTATTGAACTTCCTGGCTTAGGTCATCTATATATTTGATTTTGTAGGTTCTGTGTTTTTTGCTAGCCCTAATGGATTAACATCGACTTTTCATTTTTTTAAGGCAGCCAAGCACCCTTTCATTACTGGGGAACCTTTTACCTGCCCATACAACCCTGCGCCAGAAACTCCTCGTGTGGTGAGTCAGATGGAATCCCTTCCCAGGTCTCAGAATTCTTTGGTGGTCTTATTGTCGTACCAATGGTGTTCATAGCAGTCGGTGCATTGTCCTTGATTCATATTTGTTTCCTGATGACAAGTTTTATTTCACAATTTTCCAAACCAAATAATCATGATTCATGAGATGGATTGAAGATACTTTTCCTTCTAGCACATCCTTCCGATGTTTCAACTTTTTCTGTTGTGGATTAAAATGCCTCAGTTAAAAGATCTTGGATAAATGATCTTTCTTGCAGAGTAACGTTTGAAACGTTCCTCTATTCACTGAATCGCTTTTTGTTCCCTTTCCCTTTTCTTTGTAGCATGTTACCCAAAACATCAAAGTGGACCATCATCCAGGTGGAGGGCACTGGTTTGCCGCTGGTCTCTCTCCTAATGTATGGCTCTTTGTCTCTTCGAAATATTTGTAAGACCTTGAAGTTGTTTGTGCACCTATTTGTGAAACTTATTTACTTCTTTGACAGGTATCAGGAAGAACCAGAATCCCGATGCACAATAGTCCCCATTTTCAGATGATACCTTACTCACATGCAAATAGTTATGGGAGCATTGGAAGCTATGGTAGCTACAATGATGGTAATATACAGGAAAGTAGTTATGGAAGCTATGGAGGGACTGGCAATATGTTTGCATACTACTCTCCTGTGAATCATCCGGGCCTATACATGCAAAACAACAGTGGGGTCTCAATGCTTGGAACTAGCCCTGATGCCAGACGTCGGGTTATGCAGTACCCACATGGATATGGGCCAAATGGCCTTGGTACAAGCCCATCTGCTGGAAATTTTGCACCACTACCCCTTGGCACTAGTCCGTCGCAATTTACTCCAAATACAAACAATCAATTTTTAGCTGGGTCTCCTGGACACCATGGCCCGACATCTCCGGTAAGAAACAGCAGTCATGGATCTCCTCTAGGAAAGATGGCTGCATTTAGTCAAATTAATAGAAGAATGAGCGCTGGATATTCTGGAGGTTCTCAGTCGCAAGATCCTTCCTTGTCACAAGCGCAAGGGCATGGGATGGATAATTTTTATCAAAATGAAGGATATTCTGGACAATTCTCTGGTTCACCTTCACGCCGGCAATTGGATTCTGGTGGCAAAAATCGTAAACAGACACAAGGAGGCACTACATTAAGTACTGGGTACTCTACTCATAACAATTCCAACTCATCACTTCGGTCCAATATGTCTAACCCTTCCAGTACTGCACACCATCTTGAAAATCCGGATACTGCCTTATCAGTACCTGATCCAGGAGACTGGGACCCAAATTACAGGCAAGTAAACAAGATATCTCTCTAATTTACAGGTTATGGAATGTCTAGGTTCTTTGTCTGCGTGTATATGTTGTGTACTTGGACAAATCTGGCTGGTTTATCTAGAGTGAGTGATATTGTGCTCCTGTATTGTCGTCAATTCCAAACACATCAGACTAGGCATGTCACAGCCCATGATCTCAGATCATATTCTTGTTAACTGGTAGTTAAGTTTTAAACTTGATAGACAAATTTGCTTGCTGAAACTGTATCAAAATCGACCAGTAGAGCGACATTAAGAACCAGTCACGTTAGTGTCAATTTAAATGGGCAAGTCTTTTGTTACCTGATGTTATTCTCTTGTCTTTTTTTTTCTAAACTTCCAGTTTTACATGGTACTTAACCACTTTTCATTCTGGCTATTTACAGTTGCATACGATACTTTTTGTATGAAATTCTATTTTCAGGTTAACATGTTTTACCCCAGTCCTATAATTGGACGTTCTGATATGCGCAATTTTGTTACATATACAGTGATGACTTGCTTCTAGAAGAAGATAGTGCGGATGAGAGTTCTCTTGCTAATGCATTCAGCAGAGGTATGCAACTTGGTTCAACAGATGCCTCCAGTTATTCCAGAAGGTTCAACAGTAATGCCTCGACCTCATCCTCAAATCCGACTACCCAAAGGTAACCGAGAACACGTCTTAGGGAAACTATGCTGAATCTATTTTTCTTTTGATGTCGAATGCTACTTTGGTGATATTTAGATCTTACATCTTCCATGGATATATTAACTTATCATGAAAAACTGTGAAATTCAGAACTATGTTAAATTTGGACCAGGGGTTCCCGACTAGAATATTTGAACGCAGAAAGGTCCATATTTGATGTTGATACCTCCTGTATATGTGATATTAGCTATGTGCATATAGTTCTCTTCATAGGACTTCTATTCTGTATTTCTATTAGAAAAGGTTGCTCTGTACTACAGGTAGTCCCTTGACAGTTCTTGTCCAGTAGGAAGCAATTAGGAAAGGTAAAACACCATTTTATATTTTATTGTCCAGTAGATAGGCAGCTGAACGTGTGACGTTCCAGACATGATGTATTGTTTATCTTCTGAACATCCTCTGATACTTCTGCAACCCTTTTATCGTTACTTTTTCTTTCTTGATGTAACTTTGAATCTATATCAGGAGATATGCTCCCAATCAAGGCTTTTCACAGGTAGAGACTGGCAGCCCTCCAAGTAATGATCCTCATGCCAGATTTGGCCAACATATTCCAGGATCGCAATTTATTCCTCATGTCTCCCAGAACTCTCCAAGTCGCTTAGGGCAGCAACCTCCTCAACGGTTCAATCATGGGAGACCAAATCCTGGAAGAAGTATGGATAGGAATCACATCAACGCTCAGCTTCCTCCTTCCAACACGAATTCTGGGGGTCAACAGCGTTCACCCAGAAGTAGCTCATATGCCAATGGTGTCCCGTGGGGTACTTTCTTTTACTCATCTTTGCTTTCTCTAGAACATTTTTTCTTGTTTACGGCCACTGGTTGGTTGTCTTAGACTGGAACTTAAGTTCTGTTTCATCTTGTAGGACGTAGGACTAACAATCATGTCCCGAATGTTCCATCGACGTCCCATGGAAGGGTAGACTACGGAAGTATTGCTTAATTCCCAAGTTTTATCTCTCATTTATTTTGTTCTTTCCCTTGGTGTGCAATCTTCTTGTTGGAAGTGTGGGAACAAAGTTGTACTGAGACAAGAAACAAACTTAGTTCATGGCTTGTGGGCTTCTGATCAGAACGTGCTTATTCATTGTGCTTTTTGCATAAATAAACCAAAAAAAAAAAGTATGTTATCATTGATATTGTTATCTTTCTGGCATCTATCTCTCGGAATTTCTTATTGATATTCTCTGTTGAATGTATCTTTTGGCAAAGTTGTTGAAGTGTTTACTCAGTAGCTTAGCCTTGAAAAAAAGATCCTTATGTTGTTTCTTAGCAGGCTCAAAATTGGTGTCGTTTCTTGTTTTATCTCTTGATTTCTCTACACCTTGGTGAATTATATTGGTTAGTTTGGACCAGTCAAAACCTTAAGACGCTGAAATCAATCTGAAAGCTTGTTCTCACAGTTCGTTGTTGGACAGATTTTCTTAGGTAAGAGTGTTTGAAGGAATTCTGAAATATGAGAGATTAGTTTGACAATTAAGATTTACCAAAATCAAAATCCACCAAACAAAACATTTACGCAAAACTTATAACTAACAACAACCCATGTTTAACTTGTTTCCACATTACCATCACACCAATTCTCAGCCACAAAACAACAACGGAGACGGGGAGAGTGACAGACAGAGTGAGAGAGAAATCAGATGAATTGGATGTTGCACTTTGATGAAGCTCTAGCAAGAGTCATAAGATTGGCGCACAAGTACTCACTGTTGTTGTCTTCTTCAACACCAATTTTCACAGTTTCAAGATATTTCAATTTTCCCAAGAAATGCTCCATTTGTTTCAACTCTCTAGAACTTCCTCCATAGCCTGAAATCTCTAGCACTTTGACTCGACATGTCGATAAACAACACCTTCCCTCCACCTCAGAAGGAGGACTTCTATCTTCATAACGTTTGTACAAGTACTTTTTCTTAGGCTTAATAGTGCAAGCGCATGCACTTCCACATCTATAAGTAACTTTGTGCACAAGACCCTGAAAGCATAGCAAACTATTTGACATGTATAAATGTGCAAAAAATATTGTGTGCGCTAATTTGCCAAACGCTTTGATATACCTTTATAACTAGAGTTTGTAGATTTGGAGATTTCAAAAGCAGACGAGGCAATGCCTGCCAACCGTTTTCCTTGTCGCTCTCAATAGATAGATGAAGGAGTTTGTCGAAGACCGGCATGGTATAACAGCAGTAGTAAAACGCCTGATTCATAATCACAATCAGAAACCAGATATAGATAGAAATGAGACAATGGTAACTAGCAAGACTGAGAGACCTCAAGAGAACCGGGAGAGAGGTGAAGGGTCTTGACATTTCTTATCGCCGCAACAAGATTTGTAATATCACCAAAATCACCTGTGGTAGGTAACTCCCACAATCGAAGATCCAGTCTAGCTTCGGCAAGCGAATCCAGATAATCAACATCAGAACCATCGGAGAGAAGAGCAGAATAGTCAATAAACTCAAGATTGGGTGTCTTGATCTCAACATCATCTTCATAAGGGACAATTAGGTTATTGATTACTCTAGTTTTTGATTATGAGTCAAGATCATCACAAACCTTGGAATATGATAGGAGACGAGGGAGAGATGTGAAAGCAGGATTTGGTCTATCAGGAACTTCGAAGCATCACGACGAACAAGACGAAGAGAAAAGAGAGGCTCTCTTTTTTGTTTTTGACAAAGACAAAGGTTTGGGTTTACCAATGGCTTAAACCTTTCCTTTGTTCCAAAAAAAAAAAAAAAAAAAAGAAAAAAATAAGAAAGTTAGGGATCCGGGATCCGATCCGGCTGAGTGTTTTTATGATGCGACTGTGAATATTTCTGGGTCTAAATATGTCACAGGGAATACATATATGAAAGAGATATTCGGAGTGGGTTGGATGATTATAAAGATGATGACAATGGAGGATGAACACAAGAAAGATATGGCTACGAGAATGAAGCTCAAGTTTTATAAGTATTGGGGCAACTTTGATAATACAAACATGTTGATCTATATAGCTGCAGTTCTTGATCCACGCTTCAAAATGAGATGGGTAAAGTGGATGATTCAAGGTACTTACCCTAATTCTGAGGCTAGTTGTTTGATTGCCAAGATCACCGACTCTTTAGACAGATTAGTCACATATTATACATCTTTGGGACTTGAAGATAAAGAAAATCCAGAGTCACATCATTCTAAGAACAAAGAGAAGAGACATTCATTGATGGATGCGATGTTTGATGATGCTGAGGAAAGTGAGGAGGCTGAAGTTGTAAAATCAGAGTTGCAGTATTATTTGGATGATATTCGAGAGGATCGAAAGAATCCAAATTTTGACATATTGCATTGGTGGAAGACAACAGGCTCTAAATATAAGGTTTTGGCAATGATGGCAAGAGATATTTTGGCTATTCCTGTTTCAACGGTCGCATCAGAATCTGCGTTTAGTGCAGGTAGTCGAGTATTAGATCGCTTTCGTAGTTCGTTGACACCAAAAATCGTGGAAGCATTGATTTGTACTCAAGATTGGTACCGTGATAATGATGAAGATTTAAGAGTAGAAGAAATGGTCGATGAACTTGAGTATATTGAATCTGGTATTTATATTTTTTCTTTTGTTATATATCTTCTAGTTTCATGAATTTTTTTAGAAATATTTACTCCGATGTTAACCAAAAATTCGAATATTACTAGAATATCATACATTTTTAAAAAATTACTTATATGTTTAGCGTCTTTGTGTAATTACAATTAACACCCTTGATTAGTTTTTTTTTTATAAAGATTTTTTTAATCCATTTTTAATTAAGAAATTATTAACGAAAATTATGTTAATCCACGTCATTAAAAGAAAAAACAAATTAAAGGCACGTCATTAACGTCATTAAGAGAACCCTTTCGATTTCCCTCTCTGTCACTGTTCATCCCCGAAAAAAAAAAACAACTGTAAAAAACTTTTTCTTTCTCCGACGGAAACGTGATTCCGACTAAGACTAAGAAACCCTAATTCCGGCCGAAACTCTTAACTCTCTCGTTCTCTCCGTCGCATTTCGTCTCTACTCAAGTCGGGACCTTTTACTTCGTCGCCTCACCTCAAGTCGGGACCATTTCCTCTCAACTCAACTTGTTTAAGGTATGTGTCGAATCTTTATTTTGGATTTTCCGACATTTTTCCCGCATCTAAGTTCAATAGCGAGTGATTTCCGTGATTGAAACCGTTTTCCGAAAACTATCGCGAAGAAATTGAGGGTTTTTATCGACGCTTATTACAGCTGATTTTCTCCAACGTTGATTTTCATATTGTGGCTAATTTGTTATATCTATTTGATTCCATGGCTGAGTTATTGTTTGCTTTAGACTGATTTATGATTTATCAATGCATCTATGGCTGAGTTTGTTTTATGGTGTGGCTGAGTTTGTTTTACGTTGTGGCTGAGTTACTCTATGCTTACGACTGAGTTATGGTTTATCTGCTCAACTGTGGCTGAGTTTGTTTTATGTTGTGACTGAGTTACTGTATGCTTACAGCTGATTTATGGTTTATCAAATGGCTAAGGTTATTTCTGAAGAACAACCAAGGGATTACCCTCCAAGAATTTACGCAGAAGGGGAGTCTATTCTGGAGAATAAATTGTTAAATCACAATATCAAGATGGGAGATGTCCCTGTGATTATAGAATCAATAGTGTTGGGGTCGGATCCCACACATCTTCGGTCGGATCCACTTGGATCTGTCCACGTCATTATTACATAATAATCCTCTTGGATTTCTAGATGTTTCATTGCGAGAATCGAGCTCGACCTATCGGAAGTTCGATTCAGTTTATTAAAGAGCTCGATCTTTACCAGTACGGAGTTCACTCTTATTCAACATATAGTTCGCATAAAAGAAGGCCGAAGCAAGGAGAATATTGTTCGAGGTTCGCGGCAGCGTCAAGACGCAGGAGTTCGGAGTCAACAAGAAAGAGTTCGGAAGATCCACGCGAAGTCCAAGATAGTTCAAATTCAAGCCGTTTCGGTCAAATTGTAACCTACATGATTAATGCGGATCAATGCAATTATGAGCAGTAAATGACCGCATTGATCATGTTTTCTCTATAAAAACAACCTCAAACGCATGTGTTTGGGAGAGAACAACTTTTTCCTCTTACGATCAAGCAATACAACATACTCTTCCTTTTACAATTTTGCAAGGCTTTTTACTATTTTATTCTTGCTAAGTTCTTTCGCTTTATTTAGTTTCTTGGTTAATTTTCTTTTGATTCCTTATTTTCATTTGTTGATTTCAGAGTTTTTCTCCACAAAAATACTTAAAGACAATCGAGTGTGAATCCTACATCCACATTTTGGCGCCGTCTGTGGGGAGTTACCGCAAAACTCTTTAATCTCAAAATCTCTCTTTTTCAAACCAAGAAACTATGGCTGATCAGCAAGCTTTGAGCAATGCAATTGCCTCGCTTACTCAGTCAACCACCGATTTGACCAATCAGATGGGTACACTCGCTAGTGCCAACGCCACTTTTGGTGAAAGGTTAAACTCAATCGAGCAAACTTTAACGAGTGTTCAAAATACTCAAACAAATTTGTCAAACGCGCAGAATGTTGTTTCAAGCCGTTTAGATAATTTGTCCTCAGCACAAACGATAGCGTATCAGCGCAGGCTATTCCAAACTCCCACACTAAACAGATCCGGGAGCACTCAAACTCCTCCTACGGGCCGTCCTGCTAGTACTAGCAATCAGACAACCGTTGGAGATGGGTCCAATCCAACCGGGGATGAAAATCCCCAAAATCAGGGCAATCCTGCTATTGACGAAGGACTCCTTATGGTAGAACCTGATGTCATCCTTTCCGATGATTTTGTCAAATTTCGTCAAGAGCTTGATGAGATGAAGTCGAAGTTTCATCAGGCGACCAGTTCGGCACCTGAGATCGATCGAGTAATCGAAGAAACTCGATGAACACCCTTCACTTCGAGAATCTCAAACCTTCGGATCAAAGATTCTCGAAAGGTCAAATTATCAACTTACGATGGTAAAGGTGATCCTAAAAACCACCTCGCTGCTTTTCAGATCGCTGCTGGCAGAATTGATCTAGAACCAGACGAGGAAGATGCCGGATATTGCAAACTATTCTCTGAGAATCTATCCGGATCGGTTTTATTATGGTTCACTAAGTTGGAGCCTGAATCTATTGATAGTTTTAAGGAATTGTCCTTCGCATTCCTAAAACAGTATTCCATGTTTATGGAAAAGGCAACCTCTGATGCAGATCTATGGAATTTAACCCAAGGTCAGAACAAACCACTTCGCAAATATATCGCTAAATTCAAAGAAGTGATAGCCAAAATTCCTGGGGTATCACACGCTGCAGCCCTTTCTGCTTTAAGGAACGGACTTTGGCATGAATCCCAATTTTGGGAAGAAATCATCGTCAATCGTCCGAGCACTATCCAAGATGCTTTATTAAGAGCTACTAATTGGATGGAGGCAGAAGAAGAAAAGCTTAGCCTCGCTAAAAAGCATCAGCCAGCAAACTTGGTCGTTGGAAATCCAACTAAAAAATTTGAACCAAAAGATCAAAAACGGTTCGGAGTTAATCCTGCTACTAATGCCGTAGGAAAACCCTCCCCAAAAAAAGGAAGATACAATTCTTCTAATACCAGGGTTAGAGATGAGAGTGCCTATTGCGATATTCATAAAGTAAATGGGCATTCCACCAAAGATTGCAGCGTACTCAAAAAGCACCTCACCGAAATGTGGGCAGCTGGAGAGCTCGCTAACTTCAATATCGAAGAGTTTGTGGAATCTTATCATAAAGAAAAAGAAAATTCCGAAGCTTCCAATCCTCCTGAAAAGAAACATAAGCCCAATGGGCCCGGAACTCCGAACACTCATAAGAAAAGGATCGATGTTATAATGGGAGGATCCAAATTGTGCCGAGATTCGATCAGATCAATCAAAAGGCACAAGAAATCAGCAGCAATTCAAACCGCTGTGGGTTTCCAGTCAAATGAACAAACACCTCCTATCTCTTTCGATAATTCGGACACTCAAGGATTAATAGGACCTCATGACGATGCTCTTGTGATAACTTTAGATGTTGCAAACTTCGAAGTAACTAGGTGTCTAATTGATACTGGAAACTCGGTAGATCTCATATTTCTAAGCACTTTGCAAAGAATGGGGATCAGTAAGGCTGACATTATCGGTCCACCGGCACCATTAGTAGCTTTCACTAGTGACACATCTATGTCCTTGGGGAACATCAAACTACCAGTGCTCGCCGCAGGGGTTCCTAAAATTGTAGAATTTATTGTTTTCGACCGTCCGACCGCTTACAACATAATTCTCGGAACTCCGTGGATTTACCAAATGAGGGCTATACCTTATACTTATCACTAGTGTGTGAAATTTCCAACTCCTGCAGGAATTGGAACCATTCGTGGAGATCAGGAAACGTCGCGATCTTGCTACCTCATGGGACATCGTTTAAAGCTTAAATAGCAATTAATGATAAACGCTAAGCAAGAAATCACTTCGCGTTACCCAAGTGGTCTCAGTTCAAGTGAAGTTACCACATATATTGAAATTGATTCCGAATTTCCAGATCGAAAAGTAAAAATCGGTACTACTTTAGATTCAGAAATCAAAGATCAGTTGGTAACATTTCTAAAAGAAAATAAACATACTTTTGCCTGGTCGACCAAAGATATGCCTGGAATCGACAAAAGTATCATTACCCATGATTTAAACGTCGATCCCAGTTTTAAACCAATAAAGCAAAAAAGAAGAAAACTTGGTCCAGACCGAGCTCAAGCAGTCAATGACGAAGTCGACAAGCTTTTGAAAATTAGTTCCATCAGAGAAGTGAGATATCCAGACTGGTTAGCAAACCCCGTGGTAGTTAAAAAGAAAAACGGAAAATGGAGAGTATGTGTCGATTTCACCGACATTAACAAAGCTTGCCCGAAAGATAGCTTTCCTCTCCCACATATCGATCGGCTCGTTGAGTCAACAGCCGAAAACGAACTCTTAACTTTTATGGATGCATTCTCTGGATATAATCAGATCATGATGAATCCCGAAGATGAAGAGAAAACATCCTTCATAACAGATAGAGGAATCTATTGTTACAAAGTTATGCCATTTGGTCTAAAAAATGACGGTGCAACATACCAACTAGGCCTGGGCATAATACTTGAAGCCGAAGAACCGAACCGAACCCGACCCGAAATACCCGAACCCGTTCTACTTCGGTTCCGGCTAATTACCCGATCGGGTTCTGTTTTCAAATAACTGTGGGTATCAGATATTACCCGAACCGAACCCGATACCCGTGAGTGCTTTTTATTACCCGAACATATATACACATATGAGGACATATATGCACTAATAACTTGAATTTGTGACTTGTTTAATGATTTAAGTTTTTTTTTTTTTTTTTTTTTTTGGTAAAAGTTAATGATTTAAGCTATGGAACAAACTCAAAACAAGGTTTACTTCTTGTTTTATATTATTGTCTTAAGGAACAACTTGTTAAAATTTCAGATCTTTCGGGTTTTATGGGTACTTTTATGTATGTTTGGGTATATTTGGACAAAGTTTAGGTAAGTATTACTCAAACCCGAAATAGTTTTGGTTATTTATGGGTTCTTTAACCAATATCCGAATTACCCGGACCCGAAGTGAACCCGAACCGAACCCGACCCAAAATTATACATATAACCCAACGGGTCCAAAATTTCTAAACCCGAAAAACCCGAACCCGAAAGACCCGACCCGAACCCGACCCGAATACCCACATGCCCAGGCCTAATACCAACATTTAGTTAACAAAATATTTTCAGCACATTTGGGCAAAACGATGGAAGTTTATATTGATGATATGCTTGTGAAATCTCTTAAGAAATCCGAGCACATCACACATCTCGAGCAATGCTTCAAAATTTTAAACGAGTTCGGAATAAAATTGAATCCAGCTAAATGTTTCTTTGGCGTGCCTTCCGGAGAATTCCTGGGGTACATAGTCACGGAAAGAGGGATAGAAGCTAATCCTAATCAGATTAACGCTTTCTTTACTATGCCTTCACCAAGGAACATAAAGGAGGTCCAACGATTGACAGGCAGAATTGCTGCATTAAATCGTTTCATATCGAAGTCTACCGATAGATGTCTCCCTTTTTATCAAATTTTGAAAGGGAACAAAAAATTTCGGTGGGATGATCAATGCGAAGCAGCATTTGGTCAGCTCAAAATTTATCTGACAACACCGCCGATTCTCTCAAAACCTGAATTAGATGAGAAACTTTATCTCTACATTTCAGTTTCTAACCATTCTGTAAGTGGGGTTTTAGTTCGAGAGGACCGAGGTGAGCAAAAGCCAATTTTCTACATAAGTAAATCTCTTACTATTCCAGAAACGAGATATACCATGATGGAGAAATTAGCTTTAGCAGTGGTCATATCTGCTAGAAAACTCAGACCTTATTTCCAATCTCATCCTATAGAAGTACTAACTTCCCATCCGCTTCGCTCAATCCTTCACGGGCCAAGTCAGTCCGGTAGGTTAGCAAAATGGGCAATCGAACTCAGTGAGTACGATATAGAATACAAAAGTCGAACTAGTGCAAAAGCACAAGTTCTGGCTGATTTTCTAACCGAACTACCATTAGATGATGGAATCTTTGTTGAAACGGACTCTACATGGAAATTACATGTAGATGGATCTTCTTCTAAACAAGGATCCGGAATCGGCATTAGGCTCGAAACTCCGACAAAGGAAATAATCGAGCAATCATTTCGGTTAATGTTTCCAGCTTCGAACAATGAAGCAGAATACGAAGCTCTCTTAGCAGGACTTCGGCTTGCTCTTGTGATTGGAGCAGAAAAAATAATAGCTTATTGCGATTCTCAGCTAGTTGTAAACCAGTTCGCTAGAGATTACGAAGCTAAGGCTCCTCGAATGGAAGCTTATCTTTCGGCTGTAAAAAAATTAGCCGAAAAATTCAAAGAATTCGAATTAGTTCGAATACCTAGAGGAGAAAACACTTCGGCAGACGCTTTAGCTGCCCTAGCTTCTACCTCAGATCCTGAACTCAAACGAGTTATCCCCGTTGAATGTATTTCTTCGCAAAGTATTTCGGTTGAAGAAACAGAAAACGATAACATTTCGGCGGCCGAATACATCGAAACTCCAAAACAAAGTTCCGGAAATAGTTCACTTGTCATCACCAGATCACGAGTAAAGTCTCAAGATGATGAACTTACCCCACCATTGGAACTTCCTAAAAGAAAGTCAAAAAGAAAGTTAAAGGATCAAGAGGTTCCCATTAAAGAACTGTCTCGAACCGAACAGTCACTTACATGTGAGGTTCAGGAGACAATTGAAGATCCTAATATTCCTTCCGAACCCGAACCAAGGAAGTTTATACTCAAGGATAATACTTCCGCTAATGATTGGGGGGCTGACTGGAGGGTACCCATCAAAAATTTCATTCTTAATGGAGAACTACCATGTGACAAATGGCAAGCTCGCAAATTAAGAATCATCAGCGCTAAGTATTGTATAATTAAAGAATCGTTGTACAAGCGAGGCGTCAGTGATCCTTATCTTTTATGTATTTCCGGACCCGAAATTGAAATAGTGACAAGCGTGGTCCACAAAGGGCTTTGTGGTAGTCATTCTTCGGGACGAACAATGGCTTTCAAAATCAAACGGTTAGGATATTTCTGGCCAACCATGATTTCAGACTGCATTGATTACGCCAAACGGTGTAAAAAGTGTCAGATGCACGCTCCTCTTATTCACCAGCCATCTGAAATTCTATCACATATATCCGCTCCATACCCTTTCATGAGGTAGTCGATGGATATAATCTGTCCGATGCATCGTTCAACACGAGGCGTCCAATACTTATTAGTTCTAACGGACTATTTTTCCAAATGGATTGAAGCTGAAGCTTATATAAGCATACAAGATTCCGTAGTAAAGACATTCTTGTGGAAACACATTATTTGTCGCTATGGAGTTCCCTACGAAATAGTAACCGACAATGGTCCTCAATTCATTTCAAATGATTTTGAATATTTTTGTTCCGCTTGGGGAATAAAACTTAGCTACTCAACGCCGAGGTATCCTCAAGGAAATTGACAAGCGGAAGCCTCCAATAAAACCATTCTCAGCAATCTTAAAAAACGCCTGAGTGCTCGAAAAGGTGGATGGTATGACGAGCTGCAACCTGTGTTGTGGGCTTATCGAACAACCCCGAGGCGAGCAACGGGTGAAACTCCATTCTCACTAGTTTATGGGATGGCAGCCGTAGTTCTGGCCGAGCTAAATGTCCCAGGTTTTCGCCGAAGCGAAGCTCCACTTAACGAAGAATCGAATTCTAAATTATTAGAAGACGTTCTCGATACAATCGATGAAAGGCGAGACCAATCCCTTATTCGACTTCAGAATTATCAACAGTTGACCGCTCGATACTATAACTCAAAGTTGAAAAACAGACCTTTAAATGTAGGAGACTTTGTTTTAAGGTGAGTGTTCGATAATACAAAAGAAGAAGGAGCTGGAAAACTCGGTATTAACTGGGAAGGCCCTTATCAAATCACTGAAAAAATCCGAAACGGTGTATACCGTTTACAAGACCTTGATGGAAATTCCGTTCAAAGGCCTTGGAACATAATCAACTTGAAAAAGTTCTATTGCTATAGCAAACACATTCGAACTACGATTTGGCTTGATCCTATTCTGGGTACGTAGGCAGCTTGCTAATCACGTGTCCAACTATAACATAAAAATAAAAATATTATTCCAGTCATGGAATCCTGTTTTTATAAATTCGATATTCGAGCATGAATATAAAAATACGTTGCGAACAATGTATAAATAAATATTTCTTGCTAAGCTAAGACCGGATCTAGAAGGGTCTTGAATTACGGAACAAGTCCGCCCCTTGACCAGCGAAGTCAAAGATGCTCATAATGCAACTTGTCATGTTTCCGTACTCTTGAAGTCCCAGTTCGATCCAATCGGAAGGATGGGCTTCGAGGCGATGAAGCTCGCGAGATATATCGAGGCGACACTTCTCTAGCTCCAAGATCCGTTTCCTAATCTTTTTCTTCTCATCTTCGAGCTCGTCATGCCGAGTGATAAGCTGAAGAAAATAAAACGCTACGTTTAGCAATAACAAAAAGAAGTTAATCACTAGGATGGAAAATACCTTATTGATAAACTCCTCAGCCTTAACACGATCTTGAGGCGACAATCTCTTGATTAAAACGATCGGAACCTGAATGCTAGTTCCCTTCTTCAATATTTGTGAATCTTTTGGTTCGCCAGACTCTCCTGCTTTTATAAGCTCGATGTCCGACGTCCTCGAAGGATCAACGCTCATCACTTTGAACAAGTCTGAAGGATTCTCTGATGAGTTACCTCCCTTGAACATTTTTGTAGAATTGTTGTTGAAATTCAATGACAAACTACACCCATTTTATACTCAAAAATTTATTCGATTGTATTTAAGAGGATTAATTGACGATTTCCCAAATCTGAAATTACGACTTTCATGGAAAATGTAATCGAGTAAATTGCTAATTATATTCCCTAGATTAAACGCATTAAATATGATGAGTTAATCGGCGAATTTAAAAGCAAAAGGGGAATGTAATTAATATTGTTGGGCCTCTAGCCCAATAGTTTTTACATAATATAAAAAAAAAACTAAGAAGGAGGGGGGTTCGCAGGAGGAACTTCGTCTGATGGCGAACCATCTTCGCGTTCGTCGGGTTCGAGGCTCCTTTGGTAGATATCCCAATGCTTCTTCAGGAACCTAATGTGTTCTCGAAGACAGCCGGGAATGCGGGCGATAGAATCAAATCCCCTCCTCTCCCAGTTGTGAACGTCTGACTCCAAACGTCGGATCTTCCTTTCTGCCCTAGCAATCCTATCTCCAAGGATACGGCGTTTCGCTCCGAGACGTTGCCTTTCAGAACAGAGAAAAACTTATCTTTCCGTGATCTGTAAATAACAGATACATTATGAATCTATTAAGTAAAACCTTGAAACTATTGGTACTAGGTTCAAACCTGCTCCATGAATTCATGGCACTCGATCTGTTCCTCCCGGGACATGGAAGGAAGAAAACAAGGAATAGCCACCCCTTGTGGAGTGAATCCATCCCCCGACGGGAAAAGAGATTCACTTGAAGGGAATCGTGGTGAGTTAGGACCGGAAGGTTCGCCTTGGTGAGAAGTCATCTTTGATCTAAAAAACAAGAATTACAAAGTTCTTTATAAAAAAAATCTATTGGAAAATTTCCAAAATCCAACTCTCCTTATATTGAAAAAATATGTAAGGGCACTCACTCGAGTATTTATTGAAAAAGAAAGTTAAACGTCTATCTATTGATATGACTGTTATGACCTCTCGATTCTCGTGTACATGCACAAATAAGACCTACAAAATATAGGTTATTCAAGTATCACTTAACACCTAGTAGGAGAACTTAATTTCGAACTCGAAATTCGAAGACAATCTATAAATGGTATTACACCTTTTTATCTCTTAGGGAAAGCAAACAGTTCTCACTAGAGATTTCCCTAATCGAACACATTTGAAGTATCGCAAAGTGTTCTTGTAAGCCGAGCTCTAACCTCGCAACCGAGAGACCGAGGAAAAATTCCAATGTTTTTTCTTTAAAAAAGGCAAGTAGGTCTGATCAGCCTATCTCTCCTATAATCCTGAACCACTTCGATTAGGAGGACTTTGCAAACCCTCCAGGTAAAATCGATGGTTTCCACCAAGGTTAAATATTTCTTCCTAAAGAAATTTTAATCAAAAACCCCCTTGGGCAAATTATTCAAAACAGTAATAGAAGCCCCCTCAGGCAGAAAATTTGGAAAAGAAACAAACGGCCCCATGGCCAACAAAGCGAATTTCATGTCTTTAAATTAAAGGGACAATCCCCACATAAGGTGAATGCAATCACCATCATTCATTCACAGGCGAACCGCCTTCTTCTCTTACTTGACATGAGACAAAAGCACCCCCAACGTCATCGTCTTGAGTCGCGAGAACCACTTCAGGGTTAAGCGAGCTAGCATCGAGAGGAGTCTCGTTCCTCGATTCAACATCGTGTCCCATAATCAAGGAGATGACAAGCCCCTGATCAAAGAGCCCCTGAGCTCGTCCCGAGGAGATTCTGTCAACATTGGTTCCGAACTCATTAAAATGAGCGCGAGGAGAACCGGTTAACACCATCTCGTCCAAGGACAAACCAATGTTTGGTTCGGTCAATGGAGGGGAATCAAAGAATTCAGAAGCAAACTGCTGCAAATTCAGATATGGCTGAGGAGCGGTATTTAGCTTAGCTACAGTCTCAGCTAGCTCAGCACCAACCGTCTCTTTCTCTTCAGCCAAATTGACTTTTCCGTCCTCTATCTCTTTGATCAAATCAAGATTGCTTTTCATTTCATCGCGTTCGGAGTTAAGCTTGTTCCAAGCTTTGTCTGCAGCGATCAATTCCTGCACAACAAGAAGAAACTTTTGCCCAGCTCCCTTAACCTCCTTCCGAGCATCATGAGATATTTTGCGAACATCACAATCTTTCAGTTCGGAAAGAGACTCATTTTTGCGTTCGAGCTCCTCAGCAGCTGCTTTAACCTTGTTATGCTCTGATCTCAGAAGCTCAATCTCGCCTTTTGCGAAGTTATGATCAGCAAGGGCAGTCTCTAGCTTTTGCTCTGTCTCAATCAAAGTCTTCCTTGTCTCCTCGCCGGATCTTTCGAGTCTCTCGATCTCTTCTTGGCGAGCCGAGTCAAGGCCAGCAGATTCCTGCACAAGCCGACTGGAAGATTGCAGTTTTTCAATCTCTCCTTTAGCGGCAGCAACTTTCTTGGAAACTTTGGCGAGCTCCTCTTCGTAAAAGTTCACAATGCCATTCACATCCAAAGTTGCCTAATAAAAGAAGTTCCATCTTTAAAAAAAAATATATTTTCTTTCAAAATCGGCTGTTTAAGGATGCAAACAGTCAAACCTGGGAAGAATGGAATGAATGACTGATGTACATCTTCTTGATATCAGGCTTCCACCAATCAAAGGATGGAAGCTTCTTCCCAACACGGGTGTTGAAGAACCTAAACATATTCCCGATCTTCTCTTTATCTGGAATAAAGTTAGTTGTGTGAGAATTGAGTTTTCTTTAAAGAAAGAATCTATTAATCTCAAACAACAAAATGATAGTTAAAGGTTACCGGCTTGAGACGAAGCTCTGGCAACCAGTCCTGAGTTCGGAGATGATCGAACCCTAGAGGTATTGCCTCGGGGGCGTCTAGGGGGTAACATCCCTGAACCCAGCGATTCCTTCAAAACAGTTCCTGAATCAGGATTTGCATCCAGAGCTTCAGCAGGCTCAGGAATTGGAAGATTCGAAGGAGCGGCTCTGCCCTTCCTTGTGCTCTTGGGACGTCCTTGGGGCAGGGGTCCAAGTTCCTCGGCCTTCCTCTTCTTCATAAGAGAAGTGTCACTTGCAAGGTCTTCCTCCTCAACGGTGGCAGCGGCCATGTTGTCTGCTGCTGGGATGGAGGGAGAAGCATTGATCACAGCAACCGCCATTGACTTTGAACCTTCGAGAGATCCATCGTCAACCAGGAGAGTTTTCCGGTAGACCTTGTCGTCTCCGGTGGAAGTTGCATTTTTCTTGTCTTTCCCAACTAGAGAAATTTGATCTTTGATATTCTTGTTTGCTTCTTTGATCTTTCTCATATCTCGGGCATTCAGACTCGAGAGATCAATCCTAGCAGGAGGAGGGTCGACGGGGTTAGTAAGGCCCATTCTGACAGAAAATCCGGCACCGTGAATCCTTTCCAAATTAAAGGAATTCCAATTAACTGGCCTCTCCAAGACGGCCTTGTAGAAATTGAGAAAATCGATGGATGGGACCGGTCGAATTTGGGGACCTGCGAGAAAACAAGGAAATGTTAAAACGCAGTTTGAAATAACATAGGGAATTTATTCAGTTAAGTCCTAGTTTCTACCCAAATTCAATGACCAGTGGACTCGAAGGAGTTCAGAAGAGCTCTGAATAGAAAAGTTATTTATACGGAAGAAGAACCAAAACTTCCTCCAGGCGTTGTCCTTTAAGGGCAGGCTATCAGTAAGATTCCGATCCGCGATCGGATAAAGGGCATAATACCCAGAAGTTCGGGATTCGCGAGCCTAGAAAAGTTCCAAGAGTTCAAAAAGTCCCAACGAGTAGCCAGCCTCCACCGCAACAGTAAAGGTACACAAAAGATACCAAAGCATGTTAGGCGACATCTGAGAGAAGGCAATTCCCAAATGGTTGAGGTATGTGAGAAGTATCTCGGGAAGGGGAAAGAATAAGCCGCACCCTTTGAAATAAATTTCATAGGCGCAGCAGTAACCATCTCGTCCCGACTCAGGAGACTCGAAGGGCTCTGGAACTATCATCTCAACCTCAGGAGGGATGTGACATAGTCTGCAAAGATCGTCGAGAGAATCGACAGTCGATTCACTCTGAGGGTGAAGATCAAACTCATCTCCAGTATGGATTTGAGGTTTGGATCCTTCACCCATGAGAGCTTCGAGGTCATCAACTTCATACTCACGAAATTCGGAAGAGAGGTTCGACATTTTACAAAAAGGATTTTTTACCGGAAGGAAACAATGACTTCTGTAATAAGAATGAAAGTTTTCTAGGTAAAGAAGATAAGATGGAAAAGTGATTTTACCTCTTAGAACCCTAAAGTATGATGGAAAACCGCCTCGAGAATATTGGGAAGTGGGACGGTTTTTCCCGTGGTATTAATATAAAATTAAGAAATTAATGATGACGGTTGTCAGGGAAATCAAATCATCTGATTATCCTAGATCAGCGTAATAGCGAAAAACATGGAATAATTCCAGAATGTTAAAGATCTCGAGTCATTAATTACAGTTTACTTAAGTCTTCTAAGCCGAGCATTCAGCTCGCAAGACTTGGGGGGCTAAATGTTGGGGTCGGATCCCACACATCTTCGGTAGGATCTACTTGGATCTGTCCACGTCATTATTACATAATAATCCTCTTGGATTTCTAGATGTTTCATTGCGAGAATCGAGCTCGACCTGTCGGAAGTTCGATTCAGTTTATTAAAGGGCTCGATCTTTACCAGTACGGAGTTCGCTCTTATTCAACATATAGTTCGCATAAAAGAAGGCCGAAGCAAGGAGAATATTGTTCGAGGTTCGCGGCAGCGTCAAGACGCAGGAGTTCGGAGTCAACAAGAAAGAGTTCGGAAGATCCACGCGAAGTCCAAGATAGTTCAAATTCAAGCCGTTTCGGTCAAATTGTAACCTACATGATTAATGCGGATCAATGCAATTATGAGCAGTAAATGACCGCATTGATCATGTTTTCTCTATAAAAACAACCTCAAACGCATGTGT